AATTAATGTATGTAGTAGTCTGAAGCAAATGAGTTAGATGAGCAACTGTGGAAAGAACAGCAATGAATCCAAAAAGATGCAGCAATAGCATAAGCAGAAGGTTGACTGGGAATTTAGTAACACAGGAAAATACACAGGAAATCCAGAGTGTGGGAGGAGATCAAACTGCAAATCCTTAACAACAGAGAGACCAGAAGATCCATAGATCAGACACATAACAGTGATCAGCAGCAGCAAGCCCATTTAACCACAGTTCCAAGATGGAAACACCCAAGGTAAAAATACTGGATTCAACACCAGAAGCTAAAATTTTTAAATTAATCAAAAACACCTTGGCTGCTGGAGTCTAGATGAAGCTTCTGCAGAATAAATCAGTACTGAGAAGAGCAAGAAGCTCATTATTTAAATTGCAATAAAAGAAAATAAATAAGTTTAAATGGCTGGAGGTCTACACCAGAAATTATTTGCTCTACACTGGGATATGGTTAGGCTGAACATCTCCTTGAAGAAAAAGCCAGGCTTCAAAAAGGAGAGAACTTGAAGGGCTGTATCACAGTAGCTTGTTTTCCTGCCCCTACTTCCCTCTATCCCAAAAGGAAACAGAAACCAAAATTACAATTAGAAAACAAAAACCCTTCAAGAGGTTTCTAGATCAAGTCATTCCAGACCATTTTTATATGATTACAGAATTGTCAGATTAAAGTTAGGGATTTTAGTAAAGTCTTTGATACATTATCTTAGAAGTGCAGACATCATATGTCCCAGTTGTATGTACAATAGCCTTCAGGAAGACAGGCAGCTGGATGATATTGTGAAGTCAGAAGTGAGAATTTAGCCCTATAACATACCTGTTAATCACATGGAAGAAGCACTGACAATTAGGTTTTTCTTAGATTAGCGCCCTGAGCTTAAAGGAACAATAGCAAGAAATGTGCCTACCCAGGATCAAAAGGATGCTGATTATAGGAAACATTCATTTTTAAAAACAGAAAAGTCCACACAATATAACTGCATAACCATGGTTACAGTATGTATAGCATAGTTTATGACACATAGTAGGTCTTCAGACAGAAATATGGCACTCCCAGGTTACCAATCCTTACACCTACCCTTGCAGTACTATGCCATTCAGAAGAGATTCAAAACTCTGGGACTATAAACATAATAAAGGGTTTTGAAGAAATGATGCAAGACAGGAGGCTCGAAAGGAGAGGGGAGGAAATGATGTGAAGGCTACCTCCAGTACACGAAAGATGTCTAGAATAAGAAGAGTGCCAGTGAATTACCAGTAAGCAACAATACAACTGTTCACAGAGAGAACAATTAGGCTTGGCAAAGGCAAAAGGTGATGAGTTAGACTAAAGGAATAAACTGCTGAATGCAGTTTGGGAACCTTTAAGTGTGGGATGACCATACATACAGCTATTTTAACCTGGACCCACTGAGAAGAAAATTGAGCATGTCCAATAAGATTTAACAAGTCTGTGATAACGGATTTGCTGGTAATCAAGTCTGAATCTTCCCTGAGCTGTATGCCTTTTAAATTTCTCCAGGATTACTCAGATTTCAGAATTCAAGAAGAAAATAAAGATTTGGGCCTAATCCCTCCTCTTTCTTTCCCTTACCCCAGTCAGGGTCAACAAGCTTTGAAAATGAGGGAGTAGATGAAGTATATCCAGTCACAATCTTCTGTGGGGATTCAGACAAGATATAAGCAAGATACTTTTTTTTTTGAGATTAAGGAAGTGAAACAATGCAACAAGTTGTTCACAGAGGTGAACACAGAGGTGAGGAGATGCCTCATCCCTGGAAACATACAAGGTCAGGTAGGACACTGCTCTGAGCAACCTGACCTTGTTGAAGATGTCCCCACTCACTGCTGAGACTAGATGATCTTTAAAGATTCCTTCCAATCCAAACTACTTTATGATTAAAAAAAACACAACAAAAGCACCACATTATTGGACACTTAACATGACTATGACATGAAATTTAAAGAAAGATTTGGCCACAGTTCCATGTGGAATAGCCCAAGGGAAGCTCTGCAGCAAGCCTGATGGTGTTCACTTAAATGGGAGAGGCAGGCCATTCTCCTCCAATCCTCCAAAGGATTACATTGGCTTCAGCAGATACCACAGACATGGAAGAACAGCTTTTGCTGTGCTTCTGTACTGTTCTGTAAGCTCTCTAGTATATTCTGAATAGCACTGAGCAAAACCAGGGAGACAACCAATGTCTGTGCCTATCCTGGAATACCCCTATATCAGAGAACTCAAAAGCGTATAGGCAGTATATACTAACTTTTACTTTGCAAGTAGTTGTGGATGGATGGACTATTCAGCACTTCTTCTCTCACAGCATTTGATAGTTCACAGAAGTTGTAAGAGACTGTTAATTTTATTATTATTTTTTTTTTAATCTGTAGATATCTTGTAGAGATTTGCTTGTCTGTAACATCAAAACAAAGATGCTGCCCTGCAAGCAGCAATTTCCACTACCATTCATCAGCCTTTTTTCAATGTCTATGCCGGATGCTGTACAGAGCTGTACAGTTTTGTCCTCATGTTTTAAGGCTTATTACTCCTGGTATTAATGCATTCTCACATAGAATCTGAAGTCAGAAACATAAATTAATTGCACTGCATGTGCAATTACTAGAGGAATGTAGTAATATCACGAAAGAATACTCATTTAAATTAGTCCTTTAACATTGGATCCCAATTTGAGATGAAGTCTTTGCTTGGTGCCATTTCTAAAATGCCTGCATTTTCATGGAAACCTGTATCTGAAGTAAATTCAACATTTCAGACCCATTTTTTTCTTGTACATTAAAATAACTATATAATACTTAGCCCTCTTTCACAGATAAAATATTCAGGTCCATTAAATATGAATCTGTTTTCTGACTGCTGGTCAAACAGTACGAGCAGTTGTCAGTTCCTTTCCTCCTTGCTAGAGCAGACTATGTACAGCAAGACAATGTTCTGTGATCACTAATATTTTTTGATCCTCTATTTAACTATCTCATTGCTTAAGGGATTGAAAACTTGATTATCAGATACACTTATCTGGATAGCAGAGCAGAATTGCCATGAACCTAGTATACTAAGCAAAAGGGTCAGTATGAAAAAAAAATACAAATAAAGTAAAGTTGTTGCCAGTACACTTTGTCTTAATCCTGTAGGCTGCTGAATTTCTGTAACAGTTATGGAAATGAATTTATTACAGGATTGGATTAGGATACCAGTCAGTGCTTTCAAATTCTACTTCCTGATTAGCAATTTGCCATGAGGCTTTGGCTATTCGGTTATATGGCTTCATTATTACATGAATAACTATATAGCAAATATCAGAAGTGAATTGTATTTAAAAAATACCTAGAGGTGATACTCTGACATCTATGGACCTTAAATTTCCACTGATGTGTGAGGAAAGACTCCAGGTAAACAGATCTGGTCTCCTAAAATTACGTACAGGGTTCCTTAGTTAAAAGCTTTGATTGTTTAAAGGGAACCTGATTTTTAAAAAAATAAATTTGACAAATTAAATAAAAGCTTGCAACTTTTTTTTTACATTGCTGAAAAACCACAAACAGAAAGAAAAATATTTTAGGGTCTTCATGACCTTTTCAATAATAAAATGTGATCTATGCTACCATAACATCAACATTCATCTCATCATTATCCATTTGCCTTCTTTCATGTTTCTCTCAACAACTAAAATAAATAACAAAAAATAATTAATGGGTGAAATCTGAGCCATGACAATGTAATCCTCCATCTTAAAAGACTATAAATTGTAACCTATAAAACTAAGTGTTTTATGCTACCAGCATAATAGATTCTTCTTGTTCCAGCAAAAAAGAATGAAATATTCTGTCCAGAGGTACACTATGGTTGTGTAGAAATTCTAAACAAATATGAGAAATTTCACCACTAGAGCTGCATGAAACTTATTGTTTCCACTTCATAAATAATCACTTGGGCTTTTTCTGATTTCATTAAAAAAAAAATAAAAATATCTGGTTTTGAGTTTCTCTTAAGAGAAATGCTGAATTAGAAATTAAAAAACCCAACATAAATAATCACTTGGGCTTTTTCTGATTTCATTTAAAAAAAAAAATAAATCTGGTTTTGAGTTTCTCTTAAGAGCATTATGCTGAATTAGAAATTAAAAAACCCAACACGTTCCCATTAAAAAACAAACAAACAAACAACCCCCCTCAAAAAAAACCCCAACCAACCGAAAAAGAAAACAAAAAAAGCATAATAAACTTTAACTTCCCAATTTTTTTATGGGTGTGAAAGCTTAGAGATTTCACACTGAGAACATTTTATCATTCAGCACAGATTTGCCACTCTCTGAAGCTCATCCAAAATGGTAAACATGAAAAAATAACAAATGCTTTATAAGTGTTCCATTCATTAAGGATCATCTTGGCAAATGTATTTTATGCCTCAATTCTCCATCCCCAGGGAACCATTTTTAGATTAAAAATTAAGTGCACAGCAAGTTGATGCTTTATTCCTGAGCAGTTTCTCATTTAGTATCCTGGGCCATTATATGCTGAAAATATGCAAACTTTTCAAGCTTTAAACACTTTTGTACCTCAAAGATTTAAGAAAGCAGGTTAAATTCAGGTTTTATTTCCAATGTTCCATACAGCTCTTTCTAGAGTACCAATTATAGCCATCATTTTGGATTTGTTCCTTTGGAAACAGATTAAACACATTTAACTCTACATCCTGACTGAGAAAACTTCTCCCAGTAAAGCTTATCTGAGCACATGCTTCAGAAACAAGTCATGCAGTTGCCCAGGCTAGAGGGCAGCATTCCTGGCTCAGGCAGCGGAGTTCACTGCTCTGCAGAGCTCAGACAAAATCATCATAATCCCTCTCCACTCATCTTCTACAAGAAATTACATTTTAAATCTCTGTCTGGCAGAAGGGAAAGCCTGCCTTCCTGGGACAATATTAAAATATATCCCTGTTTCAATGTACCTTATTAACATCCATTCGCAGCTTCTCGTTGTTGGCGCTTGCAGCTTTTTCTGCTGCTTTCTTTTGACGCTGAGGGCCCCTGCCAAAGAAGATGTAGTTGACCAGTGCATACTCCAGCAGAGCCATGAAAACGAAGACAAAACATCCCATAAGGTACATGTCAATGGCTTTCACATATGGAATTTTGGGAAGAGTCTCTCGAAGATGGGTGTTAATTGTAGTCATTGTGAGCACAGTTGTGATTCCTGAAAAAAAGAATTGGCAAATATATTTATTGAATCAATTTTAATTTTCTACCATAGTAGCTCATAATTTCCAAATGCTAGAGCTGAAAAATTCTAGTTGCTTTTTCCTGGTGGAAAAAAACCACCCTCAATGTCTGTTTATATTTCTTCTCTTTGACTTTATTTTTTTTTTGTACAGCAAAGATTACACCTGTAATAAATTGCATTCAAACAGTAGTTGGATTCTATGAGTATATTTATAAGCAGCTAAACTGTAACCTACTCTAAAATGTCTAAGTTACAAGTTGCCAGCCTAGAGTCACCGTTACCTTGCTTTCCTCCAGCATTTTCAGGATGTCTGCAGTCTTGTATTTGTATGGGAAATTGCTACATAGAAAGGCCTGGTAAAACTCAGTATCCAATAAGGTTAAAATGTCAAATTCTCAATCATCTTTTATGGTGATATACTTATTTTATCTATATGAAGGCTGTACTAGCAGGAATTGGGCTGATTTATACAAAATTTGGTAATAGCTACTCATATTTATTTTTGTAACATGTTTCAGTCCTCTGACGAGGCGCACAGTGTACATGTGGGCTTAGCAATGAGATATAAAAATACTCAAGAGACTAATTAAGGAAATGGTTTTGCTTTTAGAACGTAAGGCAACAGTAAGGAAAAAACTCCTAAATTTAAGGAAAAGTTAACTACACAAGCCTAGCAAAACATTATTTAATTCATACCTGAAAGGAAAAGAAATTTATAATCCATAACAGAGCTGAATGTGTATTCTGGACTGCCATGGGCAAAAGGAAACTAAATGCATTTTCTTTGGAGAAAAACAAGCAGTAAAAGAACAGAAAATGATGAGACAATTAGGCTAATTCTGGTTACAATGATTATACATTTAGCTAATTCAGACATGAAATCACTTTAATTTTTATTTAAACTGCAAAGATTTAAATGCTGATTCAAATAATACAAAGCTTAACAAGCCAGACATAAAAAGATCTAACAGATTTATTTTTCAAATCATGCACTACCCACTAAGCCAGAAGCAAGAGAAAGCATCCAGCTAATGCACACTGCATGAGATGTGTAAAAATGCCTACCTAAAGCAACTCTTGCAGCTGAAGCATCATAATTAATCCAGAAGGAAACCCAGGACAGGATAGTGATCAGAATGGAAGGCATGTAGGTCTGCAGAATGAAGTAACCAATGTTTCTCTTAAGTTTAAAGCTGAGAGACAGCCTTGGGTAGGCACCTAAAAGAGAATATTTGGTATGGCCATAATTTGCTTGTAAAAAGCCTGGAAACATTTTCTGTCATCTTGGTTTTATTGTTTCATGCAACATCGAGTACACACAGAGTTGAAAGATCCAGGATAATCAGCTGCAGAATTTCCAGCAAGAGTTTGGATTAAATAATGTCTTATTCTAGGGGTAAAAGGATGCTCTTGGTGCATATCTGCTGGTAATCATACTATTCAATGATCATCAGCCAAAACACATTCTAGAGCATCGAAGCATAGAAATGGCTCTTCCCTGACAAGCTGTGCTTTCCCTGCTTCAGTGTGATCCCTATTCTAACCTTCTCTCCAAGCAATGCAACAGCTGCCCTTTGTCACTGGACACTAGAAATATTTTGATGTATGAAACACCTGTTGAATAGGTGCCTAGAGATTACTATTCAAGTCCCAGTTCTGCTTGTTTTTGAAGAATTTGGGATGCACAATCCTTCTATATCTGTATATAGATATACTTCTATCAATATCTAGATAGTGAGTTTTGAATAATATTTTTTTTTTTTTTTTCTAATATATCTAGGAGTTTCAAGTAGGTAGAGAACATCACATAATAATAGCTTGATCCAATTCCTGTCTCTCTTGAATTGAAATGTTCTAAATGTTGTTTTTTTTGTTTGTTTTTTCCTTTGGTTCTTTTTTTGGTGTTTTTTAAAAAATTATTATATATTTTGTGAAATAAAATTTTATTTTCTACTCCTTCTCACAAAGCATCTTTTCAGCCTTCAGAAAGTCATACACTTGCTAGCATACACTAATCTACAAATCCTGTGGAACAAGGATTTTAAAGGTTTTACAGTGAAGACAAAATATTTAATCTAATACACCCACAGCTTGGCACAAGGAACAATCTAGGAAACAGCGAAAGAAAGGTTCTTAGATTTCCTACAGGCTGGGTTGTTTGTTGCTGGGTTTAGGGTGCTGGGGTGTAGAAGTGGCTTAATCAGTTTTCACAGAAAAGCAGAAAATACAGCTTATTTGACTGAGCCTTAAGATGACAGATTACTGTGTTTTATTCATATGTTAATGAGTGATGCCTTAAACACTGTGAAAGCTGTATTACAACTTGTTCCTTTCAAAATTTACAGTTGCTGCTCTAATTCATTCCTGTTTCTAAAATTTTTCCTCAGATCCTGAACTGTACATTAAGAATAGACCTGTTTCTAGAAGTCTTCCCCATGAATTCCCCTTTTAGCTTCCCCTCCACAAACCTGTAGAGAAAACAACATTCTTGGTGATAAGCTTGTAGTCTACAATGGAGAACTGTGGCAGTTCAATCTTTGTCACTCCTGTGACTGCATTATCACCCCCACGCCAGTAAAATTCAATGTCATCTGTTGTATAGCCATCTACAAAAACAGGAGTAAACAGTTAAGATCCACATCTCTTCTGACATCACGGAGAACAGTCCAGAGAATTCATTCAGAAATTAGATTCAAATATGTCTCCAAAACTAAGTTGTTAATAACAGATATAAACATAAACCAGACACAGGTAGTTATAAATACTATTTCCAATGGCAATACTAGCTGTATTTTAACTTTTGGGATCTTAAACATATATCCATATATTAATAAACAAACCTTTAAAAACAAATTAAGACTACACACATCCCATATACAGACAGTAACTGTACGTGCATCTTAAGGTAACTTCTGATGCCAAGGCTGGCTAAAACAGCATGGGTTTGCTGTCATTTCAGCCCCTGGGCTGGAAGATCAGCATTGGTAACAAACATCACTAGGTCACCAGAAGAGGCTTGGGTAAAGAGGCTGTTCAGACTTGTGCACCGTGATCAGCGTGGGAAAGAGGACAGTGAAAGTAATACAGGTAAGAAAGAACTTCAGCATAGATTTATCTCATGGTATTTCCTCTTTCTGCTCTGTAATGTGGCTATGAATTAAAAGGACAAACTCTAGTTTAAACCCATTTATATTTTACTAGTAAAACCAGCATAATTCTTTTTCTGAAAACGGCTTGAATGTGATAAAACAGAGGCACATTCAGTGAGGCTCTTGTAAGAAGCAACTGCAGGAGATGTGACAGCCATTACTATGGATGGCAAAAAACCCCCACACACAAAGCCCAAAACAAAAACCAAGAAGAAAAAGCACACAGTTATAAAACATTTGCATTAAATATGAATCTGGGTTTGTCAAAGGGCAGCTGAGCTCACTCTCATTCTCCAGAGCTGATATAGAGAACTGATCAGTACACATCAGAAATTAATCTGCTGCAAAACCAGGAAAGAAGATATTAATGAAGGTTTGTAGCCTTTTAAAGGTTTTTGTGGTTGAAAATAAAAGAATAACTCAGAGACAGAATAACGCCTATGACATTTTAGAAAACTGACATAATAAAATTATACATATTTGGCCTTGACTTTTTTCAATGACTTTTTTGGCCTAGATTTTTTCATCCATAGACAAAGGAAAAATTTATATAATAAACAGTATTTTAGAGTGATCAAATAGAACTTAATTTCAAGGAAGAATGCAGATTATGCGTTTTGTGATAACCTAGAAAAAACAAACAAGAAACTGTAAAAACACTGAAATAACTATAAAAATCTATTGACACATAAGAACTTTTGAAGTATTTTGGCAGTTATATTCTTATAGCATAGTGATAGCAATTTCATTTTTGTATACATGACCCTCATTCTGTTTTTCATGGAGCTAACAGCAGATCTAAAGTATTTTGAGGGCAGAAAATGGAAAACTAATTTCAGGAATCAGAGCCATCTCATTCATATGTGACAGATTTTTAACAGCTCACCAACATCAAGAATTCAAGGTGGAACCTGCTCTTCTTTCCAAGTTGCTGACACTGACAGCAAAGCTGATGAGAGATTAGATTTTTTTTAATTTTTTTTGTGAAATAAGTTCTTCCTTAATCTTTCCATTTACCCAGAAGTTCACTAACTCTAGCTGATTACATCAGCCAAAGAAAGAAGCAGCTTGCTCGTATCTTCTAAAGAAGCTTCAACAGGTGAGGGAGAAAAAGCTCTGCAATATGGAACATGATGCGCTTTTGACGTATTCAGAACCCCTTAAGAAACAGTTAAAATTCACATTAACAAATAGCTTCCATCAATGGTCACTGCTGTTTCCCCTCATTCTTTCCCTGTTGTTTCTCCAAGAGGAGAATTATAATGGAATAACTGAACACAACTTGAGCTAATAACTTCCCATAATATTTAGCTCCCCTCCTCTGTTTGGACAGTGCTAGGGAAAAGAAAAAACAAACAAACAAAACCCTAAATTCCTCTCTACTGATTTTTTTGGAAACAAATAATCTCACAGATATCATAACCTTCACATTTGCTGTATGTTATTTATTCAGAATCTAAAACATGACAGGCCTGAAAAGGAGCCACAATTTCTGCTGACAGTAGAAGTCCCATCCTCTGTAATCAAACAAGCACTAACCATGACACCACAGTGTACTGGTGCCTCTTACACATTTGTGATACAACAAAGTATGTTCAAATCTGAATTATTAATCATCAGAACTTATAAACTTTGTAGTCTCACGATGATGTGTCAACATGTGACTGAACTCTGCTTTTCACTTACTGCACCTTTGCATAGGAAAATCTTCAGCACCCCACACAGAACTGTCTCAGATGAAGTTACAGCACAAAATATTGTTGTATGTTGACCAAGAGATGCTCTATTTAGAAATACAGACTATTTTAGCACAACAACTTCCATTGGCTAAACAAGGCATCCTTAGTTCAGCCAATTGTTCTATAGTATCAGTCAATTTATGTCTCAAGAGTCAAATTAGAGACTTACCCAGGAGATAAGAATTGGTTTGTTCTCATGAGGAAATAATGTATTTTGCTTCTTAATTATGATTTTCTGAGACTGCCTAATTATATGACAGCCTCCTTTCCCATCTCTCATTTCATCAGTTAACCTTGTTCTAGTTTCTCCACAATATAAAAATAGCAAATGGTACATGATGGAAGACCAGAATACTTTAAAAGTTACTTTCCTTCCAAAGCGACCAGAAATGCTGAGACGCTTCTAACTATTAAACATTTTAAGAAACAAGGAATACTTAGCCACGTATTCAGATTACCATGGTTTCTGAACTAACAGACATGAGCTGTGTAAACATGAAAACCTTTGTTGATACACTGTAATCTCAACTTGAGCTTTTCTGCATTTACTACTTCTTGCAGTACAAGTTTATACTAAGTTCTGGCTCTGACACTCTTCATGTAACACTTTGCTAATGCCTCTCCTCTGCCCTGGGTTGTGGGCATGAATGTCTCATCCTGCCTGGCCCCATCCTCTGGTTCTCCAGTAGATCTCTGCAAAAGCTGTATTCCAGCAAATGGACTTTGTTTTTGCAAACTGTCACCCCCTGTATCCCCTAATAATGGGAACTGATGTCATGGGGATAAACATTGCATGGAATGGAGCCTCCCTACCTTTCCTGTGATGAACATAGAACAATTAGACCTATTGGTGCAGCTTCTCCCAACAGAGAAGCTGTTTGACAGGAAAGGCAATTACTGCTAGCACTGGTGCACTGGCTGTTGACAAGTTGTTTCTACTCTCTATAGGGTACTAGATTTTAAGCACTGCTGGATCTACTTCTTTTGCTTTTAAAGGCACATTTTCAGGAAGATTGTAGAATAGCTATGATTGGAAGGGACTTTTAGGATCATCAGCTTCAAATCCCCTGCATGGGCAGGGACATCTCCCACTAGATCAAGTTGCTCAAAGCCCTGTCCGACCTGCCCTTGAACACTTCCAGGGAGGGGACATGCACAGCTTCCCTGGGCAAACTGTTCCAGTGTCTCACTATCCTTTCACTAAGACCAATGGTACATGGATGGAGGTCATTAAAGACTGTGCTCATGGCAAGACAGGCTCACATCAATAAGACATTTAAAGGAAACACATTTCTTTCAGTAATTTCTCACATTTCTCACATTTCTCAACTGAGAATTTGACACTGTGTGACAAGACCTGTTGGCAAGTATCGATACAATTTCAGGAAGTCTCTTCAAGCTTTCATGGAGATATTTCTCTCTCTTTCCAAGATAGATAAATTATCCCAATCACTTCATAACATGGAGATGGACAGAAAACAATATTGTAGTGATCTGCTAAATGAACACTATTGTGTATTGCTAAAATACCCAAATATAATTGGTTATAAGGCTAATATCTTCAAAACATCTGTCAGAAGAGAGAATGGGCCTATTCATGTCTCTAATGGATGTTTTACAGATATTAAAATTCAGTTACCTGTAGCTATAATAAACTCTATCTGCAGGTATTTGGAACTCAGAACAACCCTACACACAAGTCAACATTATTTAAAGACAAACCAACATAAAACAGAAATAAGCAGTCTAGAAAGAATCTGTGGCTCTTGACAAGAAAAAGGCAGAATTAATGTATGTCAGTTTAATATCCCTAAATTATCAGGTCACATGTCAATAATGTAGAAAGTAAAGCATACTAAACCCAAAAATGCTGCAAGTCATTTTTGCAAGAATCCAAGTTTAGCACAAAGCACCATCTAATTCAGATTGTAAAAGAACTGTTGTTTTACTGTGCGTTCAAATTGTACATAGAACTGCTAACAGGATAGGGAATCTCATTGATTGCTCTTTCCTAAATCATTTCCATATCAGCAGCAGCACAATCTACTTCACATTCAGAAAGTTCAGTTTCTCATTTCTGACATGCATCACACAGCAGCAGCCAAGCCAGTCAATACACTGTCCTGGTCATACAGCACCAATCCTGAGAGAAGCAAAGCATTCCCCACTCCAGTTAACAAGGACAGGGTATTTTTCATGGCCCGTAATTCAAGGAATGACAGATGATGAAGCACTGTAGGATAAAAACAAACAACTAGTAGAACACAAAATACTTTTCATGCAGAAGCTACAAAAACACTTATTTTTTTCATAGTCTGTATAAGAGAAGGCAAAATTTGCAAATTATTTAAACAGAAACAACCTAAAAGGAAAGCTGCAGCATCACTGGCTGAGCATGAAAGTATTTCTACACAAGATGGTCACTGGAAACACCAGGCAATGGAAAAAAAAATAATCCAACTTTCCAAAAAAGTCTCAGGATTTATCAGTAGGATTCACTGACTCACAATGCTTTTGTTCACCAGAGCTGGGCTATATTTTAGGCTGATACATAGATACACATCTACAGTGTGCACCCGATCTAGGAATTCAAGTGGTCCATGCTACTAATACTATGGCAGCAGCTGGAGACTAGAGACATTTGCTGATTTGTGATGAAAAAATAAGGACACAAGCATTCAAAACTGTGAAAATGTGGCTGAACCATGGAGGATTTGG